AGTTAATATAGCTGAAAAATGCAAAATCTAATGATTTTTGATAATTTTTTTTAATTTTTGAAAAAAATTCAAAATTTTCAAAAATTGTTAAAAATTAATTATTTTTGAAAAAAAAATTATTTTTCAGTTACATTGAGTTAATATAGCTGAAAAATGCAAAATCTAATGATTTTTGATAATTTTTTTTAATTTTTGAAAAAATTCAAAATTTTCAAAATTTTCAAAAATTGTTAAAAATTAATTATTTTTGAAAAAAAAATTATTTTTCAGTTACATTGAGTTAATATAGCTGAAAAATGCAAAATCTAATGATTTTTGATAATTTTTTTTAATTTTTGAAAAAATTCAAAATTTTCAAAATTTTCAAAAATTGTTAAAAATTAATTATTTTTGAAAAAAAAATTATTTTTCAGTTACATTGAGTTAATATAGCTGAAAAATGCAAAATCTAATGATTTTTGATAATTTTTTTTAATTTTTGAAAAAATTCAAAATTTTCAAAATTTTCAAAAATTGTTAAAAATTAATTATTTTTGAAAAAAAAATTATTTTTCAGTTACATTGAGTTAATATAGCTGAAAAATGCAAAATCTAATGATTTTTGATAATTTTTTTTAATTTTTGAAAAAATTCAAAATTTTCAAAATTTTCAAAAATTGTTAAAAATTAATTATTTTTGAAAAAAAAATTATTTTTCAGTTACATTGAGTTAATATAGCTGAAAAATGCAAAATCTAATGATTTTTGATAATTTTTTTAATTTTTGAAAAAATTCAAAATTTTCAAAATTTTCAAAAATTGTTAAAAATTAATTATTTTTGAAAAAAAAATTATTTTTCAGTTACATTGAGTTAATATAGCTGAAAAATGCAAAATCTAATGATTTTTGATAATTTTTTTTAATTTTTGAAAAAATTCAAAATTTTCAAAATTTTCAAAAATTGTTAAAAATTAATTATTTTTGAAAAAAAAATTATTTTTCAGTTACATTGAGTTAATATAGCTGAAAAATGCAAAATCTAATGATTTTTGATAATTTTTGAAAAAATTCAAAATTTTCAAAATTTTCAAAAATTGTTAAAAATTAATTATTTTTGAAAAAAAAATTATTTTTCAGTTACATTGAGTTAATATAGCTGAAAAATGCAAAATCTAATGATTTTTGATAATTTTTTTTAATTTTTGAAAAAATTCAAAATTTTCAAAATTTTCAAAAATTGTTAAAAATTAATTATTTTTGAAAAAAAAATTATTTTTCAGTTACATTGAGTTAATATAGCTGAAAAATGCAAAATCTAATGATTTTTGATAATTTTTTTTAATTTTTGAAAAAATTCAAAATTTTCAAAAATTGTTAAAAATTAATTATTTTTGAAAAAAAAATTATTTTTCAGTTACATTGAGTTAATATAGCTGAAAAATGCAAAATCTAATGATTTTTGATAATTTTTATTAATTTTTGAAAAAATTCAAAATTTTCAAAAATTGTTAAAAATTAATTATTTTTGAAAAAAAAATTATTTTTCAGTTACATTGAGTTAATATAGCTGAAAAATGCAAAATCTAATGATTTTTGATAATTTTTTTTAATTTTTGAAAAAATTCAAAATTTTCAAAAATTGTTAAAAATTAATTATTTTTGAAAAAAAAATTATTTTTCAGTTACATTGAGTTAATATAGCTGAAAAATGCAAAATCTAATGATTTTTGATAATTTTTTTTAATTTTTGAAAAAATTCAAAATTTTCAAAATTTTCAAAAATTGTTAAAAATTAATTATTTTTGAAAAAAAAATTATTTTTCAGTTACATTGAGTTAATATAGCTGAAAAATGCAAAATCTAATGATTTTTGATAATTTTTTTTAATTTTTGAAAAAATTCAAAATTTTCAAAATTTTCAAAAATTGTTAAAAATTAATTATTTTTGAAAAAAAAATTATTTTTCAGTTACATTGAGTTAATATAGCTGAAAAATGCAAAATCTAATGATTTTTGATAATTTTTATTAATTTTTGAAAAAATTCAAAATTTTCAAAAATTGTTAAAAATTAATTATTTTTGAAAAAAAAATTATTTTTCAGTTACATTGAGTTAATATAGCTGAAAAATGCAAAATCTAATGATTTTTGATAATTTTTTTTAATTTTTGAAAAAATTCAAAATTTTCAAAAATTGTTAAAAATTAATTATTTTTGAAAAAAAAATTATTTTTCAGTTACATTGAGTTAATATAGCTGAAAAATGCAAAATCTAATGATTTTTGATAATTTTTTTTAATTTTTGAAAAAATTCAAAATTTTCAAAATTTTCAAAAATTGTTAAAAATTAATTATTTTTGAAAAAAAAATTATTTTTCAGTTACATTGAGTTAATATAGCTGAAAAATGCAAAATCTAATGATTTTTGATAATTTTTTTTAATTTTTGAAAAAATTCAAAATTTTCAAAAATTGTTAAAAATTAATTATTTTTGAAAAAAAAATTATTTTTCAGTTACATTGAGTTAATATAGCTGAAAAATGCAAAATCTAATGATTTTTGATAATTTTTTTTAATTTTTGAAAAAATTCAAAATTTTCAAAAATTGTTAAAAATTAATTATTTTTGAAAAAAAAATTATTTTTCAGTTACATTGAGTTAATATAGCTGAAAAATGCAAAATCTAATGATTTTTGATAATTTTTTTTAATTTTTGAAAAAATTCAAAATTTTCAAAATTTTCAAAAATTGTTAAAAATTAATTATTTTTGAAAAAAAAATTATTTTTCAGTTACATTGAGTTAATATAGCTGAAAAATGCAAAATCTAATGATTTTTGATAATTTTTTTTAATTTTTGAAAAAATTCAAAATTTTCAAAAATTGTTAAAAATTAATTATTTTTGAAAAAAAAATTATTTTTCAGTTACATTGAGTTAATATAGCTGAAAAATGCAAAATCTAATGATTTTTGATAATTTTTTTTAATTTTTGAAAAAATTCAAAATTTTCAAAAATTGTTAAAAATTAATTATTTTTGAAAAAAAAATTATTTTTGAGTTACATTGAGTTAATATAGCTGAAAAATGCAAAATCTAATGATTTTTGATAATTTTTTTTAATTTTTGAAAAAATTCAAAATTTTCAAAATTTTCAAAAATTGTTAAAAATTAATTATTTTTGAAAAAAAAATTATTTTTCAGTTACATTGAGTTAATATAGCTGAAAAATGCAAAATCTAATGATTTTTGATAATTTTTTTTAATTTTTGAAAAAATTCAAAATTTTCAAAATTTTCAAAAATTGTTAAAAATTAATTATTTTTGAAAAAAAAATTATTTTTCAGTTACATTGAGTTAATATAGCTGAAAAATGCAAAATCTAATGATTTTTGATAATTTTTTTTAATTTTTGAAAAAATTCAAAATTTTCAAAATTTTCAAAAATTGTTAAAAATTAATTATTTTTGAAAAAAAAATTATTTTTCAGTTACATTGAGTTAATATAGCTGAAAAATGCAAAATCTAATGATTTTTGATAATTTTTTTTAATTTTTGAAAAAATTCAAAATTTTCAAAAATTGTTTAAAATTAATTATTTTTGAAAAAAAAATTATTTTTCAGTTACATTGAGTTAATATAGCTGAAAAATGCAAAATCTAATGATTTTTGTTAATTTTTATTAATTTTTGAAAAAAATTCAAAATTTTCAAAATTTTCAAAAATTGTTAAAAATTAATTATTTTTGAAAAAAAAATTATTTTTCAGTTACATTGAGTTAATATAGCTGAAAAATGCAAAATCTAATGATTTTTGATAATTTTTTTTAATTTTTGAAAAAATTCAAAATTTTCAAAATTTTCAAAAATTGTTAAAAATTATTTATTTTTGAAAAAAAAATTATTTTTGAGTTACATTGAGTTAATATAGCTGAAAAATGCAAAATCTAATGATTTTTGATAATTTTTTTTAATTTTTGAAAAAATTCAAAATTTTCAAAAATTGTTAAAAATTAAGTATTTTTGAAAAAAAAATTATTTTTGAGTTACATTGAGTTAATATAGCTGAAAAATGCAAAATCTAATGATTTTTGATAATTTTTTTTAATTTTTGAAAAAATTCAAAATTTTCAAAAATTGTTAAAAATTAATTATTTTTGAAAAAAAAATTATTTTTGAGTTACATTGAGTTAATATAGCTGAAAAATGCAAAATCTAATGTTTTTTGATTTTTTTTTTTAATTTTTAAAAAAATTCAAAATTTTCAAAATTTTCAAAAATTGTTAAAAATTAATTATTTTTGAAAAAAAAATTATTTTTCAGTTACATTGAGTTAATATAGCTGAAAAATGCAAAATATAATGATTTTTGATAATTTTTTTTAATTTTTGAAAAAATTCAAAATTTTTAAAAATTGTTTAAAATTAATTATTTTTGAAAAAAAAATTATTTTTCAGTTACATTGAGTTAATATAGCTGAAAAATGCAAAATCTAATGATTTTTGTTAATTTTTATTAATTTTTGAAAAAATTCAAAATTTTCAAAATTTTCAAAAATTGTTAAAAATTAATTATTTTTGAAAAAAAAATTATTTTTTAGTTACATTGAGTTAATATAGCTGAAAAATGCAAAATCTAATGATTTTTGATAATTTTTATTAATTTTTGAAAAAATTCAAAATTTTCAAAAATTGTTAAAAATTAATTATTTTTGAAAAAAAAATTATTTTTGAGTTTCATTTTTGGATTATTGAAGTTTGGGAGACAATTATTAATACACTTAAACACTTTTTATTAACGAAATATATTTATTTAATATCACTTTTTAATACATATATCTTGAGAGATCAACTCAGAATGATCACAGTTGAACTAAACGAGAGGGCACGAGAGTCGAGAGCGCGACAACGACACAGCCTAGCGGCGCATGTAATAATCACAAATAAAGGGCGGTCGATTTAAATTTTTAATACTCCCTCCCGAAAGTCCTTTATTAAACTAAAACCAGTCTTTTGGAGTGCTCATCATTGTTGCTCATCATATTCTTCAATTAGTATCTGAAAAAGAAAAATTATTAGATACTTATGTTCAAGGTTTTGTCAACCAAAGTTTTATGTAGTTCGAAAGCTAGGGGTTTAGTAAAGATGTCAGCGATTTGTTCTTTTGATTTTACCCATTTTATATTTATCAATTTTCTTTTAACACATTCTTTCACATGATGCTCTTTGATATCAATCATGTGTCTTAATTTATTCCCACCGTTCGTTTCAACACTAGCAATCGCTGCTTTATTGTCACACCATAAACTCATCGGTAATAGAGGTTTTAATATAATTAACTTAATCGAATTATACATTGATAATAATTCCTGACTGGCTTCGCTCATTGCCACATATTCTGCCTGACAAGTGGACAATGACACATAAGTTTGTTTATGCGTTCGCCAAGAGATAGTGTCCCCGAATAATTTAATTAAATAACCACTAGTGGTCAGAGAATTTTTACAATCTCCGAAACTAGCATCTGAAAATCCTTCTAAATCATCAGTCTCACCTTTGTATCTTAAACGCAGATTTTTGGTCCCTTTTAAATATCTAAATACTCTCTTGACCATTTTCCAGTCATCTTCAGTTGGACTCACCTGATGCCTACTCAAGACATTGACTGCATAAGAGATGTCCGGTCTGGTCGCTCCGGCTAAATATAATAAACTCCCCACAGCTTGTCGATAAGGGAAACTTCTGTTTGTATTTGTCTCAGTCAAAATCTCATCATTAATCTCTTCTTCTCTCAGCTTTCTCTCCCTATTGGTAACCTGACTTGTGTTCATTGGAGTTCGCTGAGGATGAGAACTATCAAATCCGAATTTAATCAGAATTTTATTTATGAATTTTTCTTGATGTAATTCTATTGTCTTATTCTTTTCATTTCGATTTATTTGAATACTCAAAAATTCTTTCGGTTCTCCTAAACTAACAATTTCAAATTCTTTGCTTAATTTATTTTCAAGTTTCATCTCATCATTACTTGCCATTAATATATCGTCTACATATAAAAGTAAGATCAAAAATTTCTCACCTTCTCTCCAAATAAACAAACATGGTTCAGCACTTGAATTTTTTAATCCAAGATTTAAGACCGCTTTAGTAAATTTGTCATTCCATCTTTTGGAACTAATACGTAAGCCATATAATGCCCGCTCTAATTTACACACCTTTTCTTTTCTTTGTTTAATACTGTGTCCTGTACCCTCTGGTATTTCCATGTAAATTTCTTCGTTTATCTCACCATTTAAAAAGGCAGTTTTGACATCGAATTGACACACCTTTAAATTATATTTATTAACAATAGCTAAAACTGTTCGCACTAAAGGTAATCTTGACACTGGTGCATATGTCTCAGCTAATTCGTATATATTTTTATCTTTAAATCCCCTTATCACTAATCTCGCCTTAAATTTAACACTTCCATTTGGATCTATTTTTTGTTTAAATAACCATCTCGAATCTATTATTGTTGCCTTTTTCCCATCTTTTGTTTTAACTGGTCTGTCAATCAATTTCCAAACTTTCATTTTTTCTAATGACATTAACTCTTCGTTTATTGCTTCTTGCCACGAATTTTTGTCCGATGAATTCATCGCGTCTTTATAATTTACCGGATCAGAATTAATGCTGGTTAAAAGAGTGTAAATTTCCTCATCAACTAATTTAGACTCTATATCATATTTATTTTCATTGATTTGTAAAGAAGATTTATTCGTGATTTCAAAGTTATCATTTTGATGTTCGACATTAATTTGTTTATCCGTCCTAATTAAATATTTTTGTGGTCTTCCCCTTTTTCGTTTAAATTCTCCTTCCTGTTTTGTTGACTCGTCTTTATTTTCTCCCTGTGATTGTGTTAACTCATCTTCATTGTTTTCATTATTTACGAATTCAGTAAACCATTTTTCTTTATTTATCTCATCATCAAATTGAGGAAAATTTTGAATTTCATTTTTCTTATATTTATCCCCATAAACTAATTTTTCATTAAATCTAACATTTCTACTTTCATAAAATTTCCCATCTTCAGGTTTTAATAATTGGTACCCTGTTGGTGTGTAGCCTACTAAAACAACTCGTCTTCCTAAAGCTCGAAATTTAGGTCCGGTTTTTCTTTGTACCTTTATGTATGCGATACAACCGAATCTTTTAATTTGATCAATGTCAAAGTTACGATCAGGATTAAATTTTTCAAGTGGAATTATCATATTATTAGATTTATGTGGGGTCCGATTATACGCGTAAACAGCGGCTGTTAATGCTAAATCCCACAAATTTTCTGGCAATTTTGAATCAAACATATAACAACGCACCTTCTTTTGAATAGTTTGATTGAACCGTTCCGAAACTCCGTTATGTTCCGGCGTATCAGGGCTTGCAAGCTGCAATTCAGCTCCTAATCTTTTTAACACTTCAATTGTATACCCACCTGTATATTCAGTTCCCTGATCGGTTCTTAAATAACACACCTTCGCATCGTGGCCCAATAAATTTCGTGCACTCCTAACGAAATATTCTAAACATTTACCAGTTTCACTCTTCATTTTCATAGGATAAGCCATAGCTAAACGCGAATAATCATCAACGAAAATTGATATATATTTATAATTTTTAGGAAAAGTAGTGGGAGAAATGGGACCCATCACATCAGAGTGTATAATTTGAAGTGGTGCAGTAGCTCTATTTCTAGTTGATAAAAACGGCAATTTATTGAATTTACTAATTAAACACACCTCACAGTTCAACAAATTTTTATCAAATTTAACTGAATTGAGACTTTTATTTTGAGGAAATTTTCGCTGTAAAGCTTTGAGATAATCTAAGGATGCGTGCCCAAATCTCCCGTGCCATAATGAAGCTTTATCGTTAGTTTCAATTTTAATATTATTTAAAGAAGAATTTTCTTCTTCGGAAATTTCTATTATAGGTAACTCATCTACATCGTGAAATTTTCTATCCCAAATCGTAATATCAAAATTGGATTGTTCGTAATGAACTTTGTTATTTTTATTTTCGGTAATTAAATTCTCATCTAATTTTTTATCATTCGCATCGTTATTTAAAATAATTAAATTATCATTTTTGATTGAATTTAATAATTTTTCTTTGTCAGTAACACTTCTTGTAATATATCTATAACTTTTCTCTTCCTTTTCAACTAAATTTACATGTATACTTTCATTTATAATTTCTTTAAAATTCTCATCGTTATTCGCAACGTCATTTATTTCTAATTCGATTTCCCAAAAAGGTCTTTTGTACACACCCGATAGTAATTTTTCGTTTGAATTGGGATCTAGAATATTAATTTTTTCGTTATCTAAATAAATTCCTAAACCCATTTCTGCAAATTTACGTAAAGATAATAAATTTTCTTTTAAGGCTTGAGTGAAAATGACTTTATCAATTTTGAATATCTCACCATTGTCTAATTTAATTTCAATTTTCCCCACTCCCTCCGTTTTTAAGTCGGCGGAATTATTTTTGTTTGCACATTTTATCATACCACAATCACTCTCTTCAAAAGTTTTAAATATTATTTTCGAATTGGTTAAATGATCAGTTGCGCCAGAATCTGCTAAAAATTTTATTTTGATGCTATCATTATTATTTTCGCTAACGGTATTTATATAAAATGTGTCAATAAATTCGTGAATTTTATTTTGCTCACCCATATTGTCATCCTTTTGTTGTCCGGATTGTTTAGTTGTCTTGTCATTATTTCCTTGATTATTTCGATAATTTTTATTTGAAAACCTCTGACCGTTATTTTTAAACCCACCTCTAGCATTACTACCCCGTCCCCTTTTACCATAATTTGGGTAACTATCATTATTTTTCCGTTTTAAAACACGCCCTTGATTATATGAATTGAAATTTTGGTTTTTGTACCTTGAATCTCCCCGTCTGCTACCACGCCCTCTTGTTACTTGCCCTGAAGAGGAAGAAGCTCCTACATTTGGGCAATTTGTAGCAATATGATTGCCAAATTGATTACATTTGTAACATTTTTTTCCTTTACCCTTATTTGGGCACTCTGATCCAATATGGCCGAGATCCTGGCATTCATAACACCTCTTCATTGTGTCTCTTTTCGCCATGTTGACTGCCCTCACATCTTTCTCGTCATCTTTGTCTCGCCTTGTTGCCTCATCCTGTAAAACCAAAAGTTTTAACTCTTCATAAGTTACACTCTTACCTTTAGTGTTTTTAGAAACAAATTCTATGGTTTGTACTGAAGGTACTGAAATCATAACTGCATTGAAAAATGTGTCACGTTTCTCATCTTCGGAAAAAGGAACAGAACCTTGAGAATTCTCGTAACTTCTGATAGTGTCTTCGAATTTTTCACAAAATTCGCTTGCTGTGTTTTTACCAAAAATATACTTCATATTGTATAATTGTTTTCTCACCGTATGTGAATTTATATTTACTTCGCATCTTTTAATTTCTGCTAATTTATCTAGAATCTGTTTTGGATCTTGATATTGCATTACTTTGGCATGGTAATTACTGTCTAAATGATTAATTAAAATGTCTCGAACTTTAAATTTTTGATTAGTTAAAACAGATTCTTCGATTTCAGTAGTATTGAAATTTTCATCAATAATGTGTAAAAGGTCACAAGATCTCAATTCTGAAGAAAAATAATCTTTAAAATTTTCAAATTTAACATTGTTAGTTAATTTATAATCTCTTTTGAAATTCCCCCCTTTATTTATAATTTCTAATTTTACTACATCTTTAACTTTCTCATCATTGTTATTATTTTTATTTGCAGAATCATTAATTTTTAAATTTTCTAAAGTGTTTTTAACTAAATCGAGAATTTTTATTTCTAAATATTTATCAAGTTTTGTTGTTCCGATTTCCTCCGACGATGTTTCATTTTCACTTACTTGTTTGGTTTTCTCATTCAGATCTTTCTGTGCTTGTCTGAAAGTTTTTGACACCTCAAGCAATGTATTTATAGTCTCACCAGTTTTCTTACATTGTTTGGCATAGTCCTCCCTCAGCAAGCTAGTCAAATCTGTAAGAGTTTCTTTGCTCAACCTCTCCTTTTTGTCATTTTTTATCTCTTCTTTAATTTGTGTGACTGTTTTAGCCAATTGATCAGTGGTTTTAAGAGATGCAGTGCAGAAATTTTTAATAATTCCTACCAAATTTTCAATCTTTTTCTCTTGTTTGTCCAACCTCGCCAGAACTGAAAAATCATTAATTTGAATGTTTTGGGGCAACAAACTAGGAGACACAGGCCCTGTAAATTTTAATTTAGTTTTATCTATATTACATTTAATTTCACTTATAATTTTGGGTTTGGGTTTAAACGAATCAGAGTTAGTTTTCAAATTACCGAATTTTGTTAGTTCGGCTACCGATTTCACGCTCTTTTCAATCATCACATCTTTCTCTTCTTTCGTTTTCTTTTTCTCATCTGGCTCTTCTATCTCATCATTATTTTTCTTATCATTTATTTTCTCGTCATCATCATTCTTTCTCATCTCATGTGTCTCATCTCTCATCTTCACATCTTCATCATCTTTGATGGATTCGGTAGCAGAACTGCCTGAGAAAATCCTCGGCATAATGGGGGTTTCTCCTTGTAAAAGTTTCTCTTCCATCCAGAGTTGGAGATTTTTCCACTGAACTCCCTTCATTATGCGTTGTTCTATATTTTAGAATAAATTTTGTTATTTTAATTGTATTTAAAGGATTATGTTCTAAGATAAGTTGACTGAACACAAGTATGACTAACCTCAGAACGATCTATTATATAAGGATCCGCACAGCAAGATCCTCATAGTCCTAGATCTAGGATGAATGGTTACGTGCACCGAACATCAAGTTCACGCTCCCACTCAAACTTCTCAGGTTTATTTTTGTAAATAAATTGTATTTTAATTTATATTAGATTTATTTATACTCAAGAGTTTTAATTCAAAATATTTTTATTTAAATTGTGAACTCACCTGTACGATAGAACGTGTTTTCTTTTACTTTTAAAGTTATATTATCGCCATCTATGATAATTTCTATCTCGTCATTCGGATGATTTTTATTCAAATCAAACACAAGTGTCCATTCTTTCCATATTGATTCTAATATACGATCATCTGTAATAATTTATTTGATGTATTTTTAGTTATTTATTGCATGCTATATTTATTTTTGTTTTCTCATCATTGTATTTTTGGATTCAAATCTATATTCTATTATGGCCATTTTACATTTATACAAAATAGTTTGTTTTGATTTTACACAAAAGCGCTTTAATAACAGAGAGAGACTGAGTAGAGAAGGAGAAAAGGACAAACATATATACATCCTATCACATCATTTGTTCGAACATTTTCTTAGTTTGACCTCTCCCCCAATCACTGTTGCCGCTTGTTTTCAGCCGGTATTTCTCTCTCTGTTACTCTTATATATGGTTTATATACTTGTCTTTGTTTCACACGCGCCATCTTTGCACTCAACAGGTCCATGCTTGTTCAGTTACATGGCCATTTTATTTTTATTAATTTTATTTTACGATAAATTATTTATATATTTTGTAATTAATTGTAATTAAATATTTTAAATTAATTGTATTTACACATCTTTCACTATAAATTTTTCTTTATCTGTATTAATATAAACTAACAGAGTTAAAGTTTCATTTACACGTGCACGTGTTTTTCATTTCATGCATGAATTTTACTTATTTAATTGTGTACTTCTATTGTTCACTTCTTTTAAAATATTTTATTTTAAACTCACCTATTTTATGTGACCCTGAAATGATTTTCTCGCCTTTGCCAGTCATTTTTCTCGCCGTGAAAATATTTTCTTTTCTATAGCACTAAACTTTTCTTTCTATGAATTTTTGCACAGTGAAACGTGGAAACTATTTTAATATCACTGGGTTCCCATAACCTTTTGGATTATTGAAGTTTGGGAGACAATTATTAATACACTTAAACACTTTTTATTAACGAAATATATTTATTTAATATCACTTTTTAATACATATATCTTGAGAGATCAACTCAGAATGATCACAGTTGAACTAAACGAGAGGGCACGAGAGTCGAGAGCGCGACAACGACACAGCCTAGCGGCGCATGTAATAATCACAAATAAAGGGTGGTCGATTTAAATTTTTAATATACATTGAGTTAATATAGCTGAAAAATGCAAAATCTAATGATTTTTGATAATTTTTTTTAATTTTTGAAAAAATTCAAAATTTTCAAAAATTGTTAAAAATTAATTATTTTTGAAAAAAAAATTATTTTTCAGTTACATTGAGTTAATATAGCTGAAAAATGCAAAATCTAATGATTTTTGATAATTTTTTTTAATTTTTGAAAAAATTCAAAATTTTCAAAATTTTCAAAAATTGTTAAAAATTAATTATTTTTGAAAAAAAAATTATTTTTCAGTTACATTGAGTTAATATAGCTGAAAAATGCAAAATCTAATGATTTTTGATAATTTTTTTTAATTTTTGAAAAAATTCAAAATTTTCAAAAATTGTTAAAAATTAATTATTTTTGAAAAAAAAATTATTTTTCAGTTACATTGAGTTAATATAGCTGAAAAATGCAAAATCTAATGATTTTTGATAATTTTTATTAATTTTTGAAAAAAATTCAAAATTTTCAAAAATTGTTAAAAATTAATTATTTTTGAAAAAAAAATTATTTTTCAGTTACATTGAGTTAATATAGCTGAAAAATGCAAAATCTAATGATTTTTGATAATTTTTTTTAATTTTTGAAAAAATTCAAAATTTTCAAAATTTTCAAAAATTGTTAAAAATTAATTATTTTTGAAAAAAAAATTATTTTTCAGTTACATTGAGTTAATATAGCTGAAAAATGCAAAATCTAATGATTTTTGATAATTTTTTTTAATTTTTGAAAAAATTCAAAATTCTCAAAATTTTCAAAAATTGTTAAAAATTAATTATTTTTGAAAAAAAAATTATTTTTCAGTTACATTGAGTTAATATAGCTGAAAAATGCAAAATCTAATGATTTTTGATAATTTTTTTTAATTTTTGAAAAAATTCAAAATTTTCAAAATTTTCAAAAATTGTTAAAAATTAATTATTTTTGAAAAAAAAGTTATTTTTCAGTTACATTGAGTTAATATAGCTGAAAAATGCAAAATCTAATGATTTTTGATAATTTTTTTTAATTTTTGAAAAAATTCAAAATTTTCAAAAATTGTTAAAAATTAATTATTTTTGAAAAAAAAATTATTTTTCAGTTACATTGAGTTAATATAGCTGAAAAATGCAAAATCTAATGATTTTTGATAATTTTTTTTAATTTTTGAAAAAATTCAAAATTTTCAAAATTTTCAAAAATTGTTAAAAATTAATTATTTTTGAAAAAAAAATTATTTTTCAGTTACATTGAGTTAATATAGCTGAAAAATGCAAAATCTAATGATTTTTGATAATTTTTTTTAATTTTTGAAAAAATTCAAAATTTTCAAAAATTGTTAAAAATTAATTATTTTTGAAAAAAAAATTATTTTTCAGTTACATTGAGTTAATATAGCTGAAAAATGCAAAATCTAATGATTTTTGATAATTTTTTTTAATTTTTGAAAAAATTCAAAATTTTCAAAAATTGATAAAAATTAATTATTTTTGAAAAAAAAATTATTTTTCAGTTACATTGAGTTAATATAGCTGAAAAATGCAAAATCTAATGATTTTTGATAATTTTTTTTAATTTTTGAAAAAATTCAAAATTTTCAAAATTTTCAAAAATTGTTAAAAATTAATTATTTTTGAAAAAAAAATTATTTTTGAGTTACATTGAGTTAATATAGCTGAAAAATGCAAAATAATGATTTTTGATAATTTTTTTTAATTTTTGAAAAAATTCAAAATTTTCAAAATTTTCAAAAATTGTTAAAAATTAATTATTTTTGAAAAAAAAATTATTTTTCAGTTACATTGAGTTAATATAGCTGAAAAATGCAAAATCTAATGATTTTTGATAATTTTTTTTAATTTTTGAAAAAATTCAAAATTTTCAAAAATTGTTAAAAATTAATTATTTTTCAGTTACATTGAGTTAATATAGCTGAAAAATGCAAAATCTAATGATTTTTGATAATTTTTTTTAATTTTTGAAAAAATTCAAAATTTTCAAAATTTTCAAAAATTGTTAAAAATTAATTATTTTTGAAAAAAAAATTATTTTTCAGTTACATTGAGTTAATATAGCTGAAAAATGCAAAATCTAATGATTTTTGATAATTTTTTTTAATTTTTGAAAAAATTCAAAATTTTCAAAAATTGTTAAAAATTAATTATTTTTGAAAAAAAAATTATTTTTGAGTTACATTGAGTTAATATAGCTGAAAAATGCAAAATATAATGATTTTTGATAATTTTTTTTAATTTTTGAAAAAATTCAAAATTTTCAAAAATTGATAAAAATTAATTATTTTTGAAAAAAAAATTATTTTTCAGTTACATTGAGTTAATATAGCTGAAAAATGCAAAATATAATGATTTTTGATAATTTTTTTTAATTTTTGAAAAAATTCAAAATTTTCAAAATTTTCAAAAATTGTTAAAAATTAATTATTTTTGAAAAAAAAATTATTTTTGAGTTACATTGAGTTAATATAGCTGAAAAATGCAAAATATGATTTTTGATAATTTTTTTTAATTTTTGAAAAAATTCAAAATTTTCAAAATTTTCAAAAATTGTTAAAAATTAATTATTTTTGAAAAAAAAATTATTTTTCAGTTACATTGAGTTAATATAGCTGAAAAATGCAAAATCTAATGATTTTTGATAATTTTTTTTAATTTTTGAAAAAATTCAAAATTTTCAAAAATTGTTAAAAATTAATTATTTTTGAGTTACATTGAGTTAATATAGCTGAAAAATGCAAAATCTAATGATTTTTGATAATTTTTTTTAATTTTTGAAAAAATTCAAAATTTTCAAAATTTTCAAAAATTGTTAAAAATTAATTATTTTTGAAAAAAAAATTATTTTTCAGTTACATTGAGTTAATATAGCTGAAAAATGCAAAATCTAATGATTTTTGATAATTTTTATTAATTTTTGAAAAAAATTCAAAATTTTCAAAAATTGTTAAAAATTAATTATTTTTGAAAAAAAAATTATTTTTCAGTTACATTGAGTTAATATAGCTGAAAAATGCATAATCTAATGATTTTTGATAATTTTTTTTAATTTTTGAAAAAATTCAAAATTTTCAAAAATTGTTAAAAATTAATTATTTTTGAAAAAAAATTATTTTTCAGTTACATTGAGTTAATATAGCTGAAAAATGCAAAATCTAACTACACTGGTTCAATAACAATAACAATAAGAATAACAATAACAATAACAATAACAATAACAATAACAATAACAATAACAATAACAATAACAATAACAATAACAACAACAACAACAACAACAACAACAACAATAACAATAACAATAACAATAACAATAACAATAACAATAACAATAACAATAACAATAACAATAACAAAAACAAAAAAATAATAATAATAATCTAGATTTATTGAGATAACGAAAAAAAATACAGAGTAATGTACAAAATAAATGGATTATTGTACACGGCGTTGTAAAATAACTTTCCTTTTGCTTCGCCTATCTTGATTCCCCGGAAACCGCTTTCGCATTACGTCAATTGGGATCAAGGTTATTGGCGACTTTTTAAGCCACACTTCGGCTAACTCTATCCTGCTTGGCTTTCCTGCTGCTTGCTTCAGCCGCAAATTTTATCTCGTTTCCTCGAGTTTCTTTCGTCTTAATAGCTTCTCTACATATTCTGCTACTTTATTCCAAGTTTGTTCGTCTTTTAGCATTTTGCCAATTATGTTATTTGGGGAGATATCACCAATATCTGCTTCAAGGGCTCTTCTTTGACTTATCCACTTATCGCATTTGAAGAGCGTATGTTTTGCATCGTCTTTTTTGAAGTTACAGTACACACATGATGGGCTATTTGCCTTCTTCATCTTGTATAGGTAGGCTTGAAAAAACCCGTGACCTGTGAGGAATTGTGTGAGGAAAAATTTGTTTCTCCAAATTTCCTATCAATCCAAGGAGCGATTTGCCATATTAATTTGGCCGTCCATCTGCCTTTAGAATCTCCTTCCCATCGACGTTGCCATGTTAGCATTGTTTCCTCTCTGGCATTTTTCTTTGCTTCACGTTTTTCTACGTTTTCTTCTCGTTGATACATTTTTTTGCGTTTTTCTGGTATCATGTCAATTGGAATTGTACCGGCAATGACCAGAGTAGAAGCTTCCGACACTGTGCGATAAGAGCTGATCACCTGGAGTGCTCCAAGACGTTGAAATCCTGCTATCCGATTTCTGTATTTTTTGACTTTTAGGGCATCAGCCCAAATTTCAGCTCCGTATAGCATTGTTGACATAGTTGTCGACATTAGAAGACGTCTTTTGCCCTGCTTAGGGCCGCCAATATTCGCCATCAGTCTTGCAAGAGCTACTGTTTGCGTAGCTGCCTTATCAGCGGCGTTCCGGATGTGCGGCCAGAAGGTGAGCTTCTGATCAACAAGAATTCCCAGTTCCTTTACTTCTCTGCTAGGCTTTATTTCCTCTTCTCTTACTTGCAAGTAAATATCAATATTTATTCGCTTTGTAGTCATTATCAGGATTTCTGTTTTTTGCAGTGCTAGTTCCAGATCTTCCATCCATTGGGTAACCAGCCTCATCACTTGGTTCAATAACAATTAAGCCTCTTCTAAATTTTTGGCTAAGATAGTAGCCGCAATGTCATC